ATTTGACGTCACGGTAGATTTTTAACAAAAGAAAAGTGTAATCAAACAAAGCTGTGTTTTTCTACTTTTCAAAAAGTACGATGTAGTAATTTTTTAACATACAGCAAAACAACTTTTATAACAAATTTTTGTAAAAATAATAAAAGCTTTTTATTTCATAGGAGGAACTTTTTTTTACCGATATCTTAATAATTTTTAGATTTATATATCTTAATTATAATTCTTTTGTTTTTAAATTAAAACAAATATTAAACTTTACTTACGAATTATATGATTTTCATACGGTCTCTTGTTTTTGTGCAAGAGAGCGCAGTATTATATATTCTGAATCTTACTTATTTTTATTTAAACAATGGGAACTTTTTTCTAACTTCTCTGGTTATTTTTACACAATGATATTTTTTGTTTTCCTGTCGAAAAAAAGTATTTATTAACAATTAAATTCATAAACTGACAGTTTTAATTAGAGATATTTAATGAATTGTTAACTTTTTTTATTATAAAAATTTTTTGATTACGCTGATTTATGAAATTGCTAAATTTGCTGGATTGGATACGAATAAAAAGGAAATATCATTTTATTTTACATTTGATTTTTGATAATGAAACTTTTAAAATGTCGGCAACTCGATACCAATTAGAACCTGTTAAGGCTATGAAAAAAAAAGTACAAGAATACACTAAACAATACAGTTGACAGTAGTATCAGATATGAAAATTCATGAAAGGATTTGTGAGATCCTGGTTTTGCATTAAAAGTACAATTAATAGCAACACCAGACGGCATTATAAATTTTGATTATAAGTTTACTGTTCAATATTTTATAACCATAATAAAAAAAAATATGAAGTTTGTATATTTTCGCCCGTTTTATACAACTAATATTTAACAATATTTATTATAAATATACAACTAATATTTAACAAAAATACGGACAAATTATTATTATATAACGCAATAATTAACACATTAATTAATGGCAATAATTCAAGATAAATGGTTTTTAAATTGTTAAAATGTCATAACGCGCGTTAAAAAACATATTATATTTGATATTTTCCAAATTGTATCGTATTTGACATTTGTCTCTTAACATGAAAAATTAAAAAAATTTTAAAACACAACAAATACAAATTTTCAAGCAATTTTCTCTTCAAATTTTCATTTATTCAAAGAAAAGTTATTATTAAACTTTTATTTCTCTCATCTAAAAAAAGAATGAGTGACGCAAAAAAATATATATATTCTATACAACTCTTATTCATTGGAAGTTTAATTACGCGAAACATTTCTTTCTCTTTTGTTCTACTCTTTTATAAAAAGAGCGAGCGATAAAATAAAAACTTTTCTTTCTTAACATAAATTTATACTTAGAGATAAAATTAAATAAGAAATAAATCAACAATGAACAAAGCAACTAACAGATTAATCTGGGACTATTTTGATATTAATAAAAATAATCAACATATACAACATTACCAACAACAATTATCAAATAAACAACACTATATCGCATAATTTTAGGGACTTTTTATTTTTATTGCTTAGTCGTTCTAAATAATGAGTAAATTTAGTTCAAGTTAATATTTCAATATTTACAGTTGCAATATAATAAAAAAATGATGTTCAATGTTGAACTTTTTATTTAATTATTTATTTTTTACCTACATTCGTTATAAAAAACTTTCAAACCCTCGTCATTAAAATAATTTGTTTTGAATATATTTCAAAATGATTATTCAAACTAATTTTTTTCGCTTGACTTCCCAAACTTCATGCAGAGCAAATTGAGACGAAATATTATCTAACCAAATAAAAATGCTTTTACTAATTTTATAAGGGTAATTAATGTAAAATAATTTTTTATCAGAGTCTTGATTGAGATAATAAATATTCATAATTTATAAACATTAAATACATGGCGCAATAACAATTTATAGCAATGAACCAGCATAAAATATTTGAGGTTTTTAATATCTTTTTAAATGTTAAAAATTATATATATATATATATATGTTAAAAATAAATGTTAAAAATATATATATATATATATATATATATATATATATATATATATATATATATATATATATATATATATATATATGTATATGTGATAGATTTAAAGGGCGCAACTTTATTGGGAAAATTACCGGTACCCTAATATTTTGGAGGAAAAAAGTTTTTCAAAAGTAGGTCAACCTAGTACTCAAAAGAAGCGAAATTTTATAAAAAATTCAAAAATAATAATCGATTCAGGATTTTTTTATATATGAAACGGTCCATTATTCTATTGATTCGATGTATTGGACCTAGACCGAAAACACCCCCAGACTATTACATTGCCTCCACTATGCTTCACAGTCTTATGGCAGTAACATAAATTGAGGCATTTTCCTGGCGGTCAACGTACACGGCAAATGCCATCGCTCCCAATAATGTTGAACTTCGATTCATCACTGAACAGGACAGTTCGCAATTTCTGCACATTCCAGTCAATATGAAGTGTAGCAAACAGGAGTCTTTTCTTCAGGTTCTTTAGTGAAAATCAGCAGTTTCTTTGCTGGGCGTCGAGAAAACAATCCGGCTTCAACAGCACGTCGTCTGATTGTTTGGTCCAATACAGGCAGCTCTAATTGTTTTTGTATCTTGACTGATGATATCCAGGAATCCTTCTTGACGGATCTGACGATCATAGAACCATCTCTAGAAGTGGTGGAACGCGGTGTTCCATCTTTGTTATCTGTTGCCAACTTCCCCGTAGAACGATATTTGGAGCATAGTCTTGATACGGTCCATTTTTTCACGCGATATTTATCACAAATACTTTTTTGTGAGATTCCACTTATGTAATTGGCAATAATTTTCTTTCTTAGTTCTAATCCAAGACTGTCAGGAGCCATTTTCGCACTTGAAGCCATAAAAAATATTGAAAATAAGTAATCACGCTTCTCAAGGCTTACCGTGTTACATTTACCTTGTGATGATACAATAATGCTCTGTGAAACACAATGTCTTAGTTGGATGTGGACTGTATTGATGTAATGAAACACTTGTTGTATTTCACTTCTTGTATTGATGTTCTTCGATAAAAAACTTTGATAAAACTCACTTCGATAAACTTGATAATACTGATAATACTGACTGATTGACTTCCATATACTGACTGAATTACATGTCGGTTTACATGTCTCTTATATAGTAAAATGAACCTGTGTGAGCCTGTTCTGGAAGATTCTAGATACTTTTTTTCGATGCTTCTGGAAGCTTCTAGATGCGTCTGGATGCTTCTGAATGTTTTTGGATACTTCTGGATGCTTCCAGATGCTTCTTTTGGAAACTTCTGGAAGCTTCTGCATGCTTCTGGAAACTTCTGGATTCTTCCTTTAATTATTAAAAAAAACTTTCGTGACGTTGACACGGACCAGACTTAAGAAAATGAAACAAACCAAAAAAGTTGCACTTGTTTTGTCCGCTGCAAATTGGCACTTGTCAATGAAATTCTGCCTGTGTGCTATCATCTGTCAGCTGATTGCTCATGTCATTGCATGTTATGACTCGAGACTCCTGAACTGTTTGCTGTGGTAGTATAGTTCGTTTCATTTTAAGACATGTAAAATTAGGAACACTTTTTAGCATTGTTTGATATTGGTTGCAAATATATTGTCCAATACTGTATATAATCAAGTATATAAAATATTATTCACTTGATAATATTTTAATGGCGCATTCAGTTTACATTAGAAAGCAGTTTTCTATTTTGTACAAACAATGAATGAAAAATTATGAAGTCATTACTGCCAACAGATAGAATGGAATGTTTACTATTTTCAAAACATTTAACCCCAATGAAAATAGAAAATTTAAATTAAAATATTAAAACTTGATTGAATTTTAAAAAATCAAAAGATTTTATCCACATGATTTTGTTAAAACATAAGATTCTTTTGCTTTATTGTTTTTAACTTTTCACACATCTTTTGTAAATAAAAGAAATATTCTTAATCTTTTTATATTCAACTATTATTTATTTTAAATTAAATTAAAAACATTTCTGTTGTTTAAAATTTCTGCATTCAAGCATCTTAATTCAACTTCAAAAAGGAAACAAAGTTATCTAATCATCTTTTAGTAAATGGAGGTATTTCATCGTTTTTATTTAATATCAAAACTGCAGTAACATTTTTTCTGGTAGGTAGACAAATGCATTAATTAAAAACCAAAGCTATTTTGTCTGATTTACCGGACTTCACATGAAAAAATTCAAACAAAAAATTGTCCACCCTTTTCCTTGTACACACTGGTACACTTTTGAAAATGACCCCTTCCTCATACTTGCGTACGTAATTTATGGATGACTCTATGGCAACCAATTTTCAACTCTGAATATCGCTCTCGAAGACTTGATGCTGAGCGCACATAATCGTGCTCGTTGATAACGTATTTCAGTATTACAAGCGCAAAATATCATGCTGAGCGATTTTATTTATCATATGCACAGATATATATATATTTTTATTTACATAAAGAAAAAACAACTTTTCATGGGACTATAAGTTTCATGTCTATGCGGCAATCATTAGCCATGTACTACATATATACCACTTTATTTAGAAAGTTGTTTACTTTCTTTATTATTGAGCACTCTTAACTGAAAAATGTACATATATATGAGATATTCATGGCCTCAGAATTGCATATATATATGTATATATATATATATATATATATATATATATATATATATATATATATATATATATATATATATATATATATATATATATATATATCAGACTAATTGTGTTATAACTTTCAATTTATTTCATAAGTATGAAAATAAGTATAAAATTTGTATAGATTCATAATAAAACCTCAAGAAAAAAACATGATTTTGAGTAAAAACTCTTTCTAGTCAATGGAAAACTTTATCCTAGTTAAAGCAATATTAATGCACTTGAAAAAATCTAAACAGATTTGTTACAGAACTAATACTTACTTCTGTTTGCCATTGAGGCATAAAGTCAGCATTGGCCCGAACCCTATCAAACAATTGTTGTACTTCTTTTGGAATGAAATTGTTGTCTAAATGCAAAAAAACAAAACATTGTCTTATGTAATCAATTCAAAATTCTTTTTTGTTTTTTTATCTATTTATTTATTAAAATTTATTTTAAAGAAAATCATAAAAACATTTGATGTCAGGTAATATTTCATTGTGATTTATTTAGTAACAGTTTTATTATAACATTGTTTCAAATCTGATAATGGTTTATTCAATTTAGATCAAAATATAACAAAGAAATAAAGAAAATAGTACACTGATGTTATTCAAAATATAACAAAGAAATAAAGAAAATAGTACACTGCTGTTATTCAAAATATAACAAAGAAATAAAGAAAATAGTACACTGATGTTATTCAAAATGTAACAAAGAAATAAAGAAAATAGTACACTGTTATTTGATGATTAATGATTATATAATTAAATGACACAAATTTTAACCAAGTTAGATTTTACTATCATTTAAAAAAAAGATTTGATCCAAAGAAAATTGCCAAAAGAGGAGAAAAAAATGGTTCAACTTTAACCAAGGAACTATTTAAACAATGAAGTTTATTATTAATAATTAATCAAACAATTTCAAGTGACTAAAACAGTCGGGTTAAGAAAATAAGAAGTTCAAGTTAATAGGTTTCAACTTACTGGTATTTAACTGCCATAATGGTGTAGTGTCAGAGGGCACTCTTTGTAAGGGAGAAGTATAATGGGAGAAGAATAAAAAAAAAAAAAGTTCAAAAATCTCCACCACTACATCTATTGTAGTATCCTGCTCAACTTGCAGCTGTCTTGTTTATTAGGTTAAGAAAGGATTGAAACAATAGTTAAAAAAAAAAAAAGTTTTTGGAGGAGTCTACAGTTTGATAATAATTTTATATATGTGTATATATATATATATATATATATATATATATATATATATATATAAAATATTATATATGTGTGTGTGTGGGTATATATATAATTGTTTTTGTTTGACTGAATTGCAAAATCGTTGGAGAAAATTGAAGTTAAGAGAGAATACACTGAAAACTAAAGGTATTTTTTTAGTTTTGCCCTATTTTTTATACCCACTCCACGAACTTTTCAACTAACCTAGTATAATTAAGAAAGTACAAAAAACTGTAATAACTATGATAACACCTCCTACAAGTGTACTCAGGTTTATGCAAGTTATTTTGTATAAGAATTATTATGATTAACTGTTCAAAAAAATTTTAAAATAAATGTACCTTGTATACTTAACATTTGTCCAAACTTTAAAGCTGCACCTCTGACTTTGCACAATGTTGATACAATTCTTTCAATGTTAGCTTCAGACAAAAATGAACTATCTGAATATGTATTGGCTGAAATAAAACATTAAAAAGAAATAACAAAAACAAATTTTAACTTAATTTTTTTTTAATTATAATTATAATAAATGTTTTTAAACCTAAAATTTGCAATATGGGTGCCTTCCCTAGCCAAAACCCTCAGTAAATGTATATACATCCCATTATCCCTAACAAATCAGTTTTGTATACAGGGTTGAATTTACCTTTTAGGGGTTTGGTGCTGAGTTTGATGGTGCTTAAATGTTTTTTTATAAATATCTAGGTAAAAGTTACCCTTTTGAAGGTTTTTATATCTAAATATTACTGTCAACATTTATGTAATTTTATACAATTTGAAAAAAAAAATTTTTATTGTATTTTCTTTGAAAAATTATGTTAAATTTAAATCTATACATTAAAGTAAATATTTGAACTAAAATGGAATATTATTATATAAGTTTCTTTCTACACTTTCTAATGAAAATTCATCAGTCAAAGAGTTTCCTCAACAAGCACATCGAGTGAATATAAATGATGCAATTTGAGCTGTGAAGGTAAATGCAGGTAAAAGAGACCATTATTGATCCAACCAGCCAGAGCTTGGCAGAATGTCATTTTCTTGTCTTCTAATAAATAATTTTAGGGGAAAATCTTTGTCCATCAAATATTGTTAAGTATGTTAAAAATGGTTTAAAAAAATTAAAATATCTTATCAAGTTAACATTTTAACCTGCAATTGTAACTTTAATTATAAGTGACAATGATAGTGGCACATTATGTTTGGGGTGTAATACTTGTACTACCTACAGGGTAGTACAAGTATTACACCCCAATTACAACTTATTTCTCCATGCAGCAGCCTTGTTTATCAAGGTTCATATTTCGGAGGTAAAGAGTTGATAGAGGGTTGTATCCATAATAATAATTAAAAAAAGCCTCCTTGACTATAGTGTCCCCTCTACCATGGGGAGATAAATAATGTAAAAAAATAAAATTAACAAATCCTAACTAATATATCCTAATGGACAATCAATATTGATACTCACATTATAATATTTAAAATCTGGAAAAACAAACTTTTTTACATTTAATAAATCATTATCTAAATTTTCGACTAGATGCATCATAAACAACAAACAAGTCTTCCATAATTTTATGGAAGAATTTTTATAAAACCATAAATTTGCGCAATTTCACCTAACAGTGAATCATCAGTATTTCTATGGCATTGCTTGACAACCTTAAGATTTTTTTTTTCAAATTTTTATTGCAAATAAAAAGATGAATCAAAAATCCATAAAAATGTGACATTGGATTTTGGAATACTGCATTTATTTTATCTAAAAAATATTTTATTATTTTTTAAAAAATGGCTTTCGCAAAAAAATAGCTGACAACTTTGAAAAACAAAAAAAATTTATTTCAAAACACAATTAGTTGTGCAAACTCAAATTCCTCCATCACTATTTCAAAAGAATATTTTGTCTCTGCAAAAATATATTTTCAAAATTTGATGTGTAAAGGTTTTATCTTGCTGACGTGTCTATGTTTTTGTCATTAAGAATATTTGTAAATGCATTATGTAAATGCATAAATAATTCTTTATTACCTTGGTAGAATTGACTTAAGCACTCCATCATGTCATTGATAGAGGTTTTAGCTATTTTTCAGATATTTTTTGCAGAACACTATCATTGTGTAGAGGGAAAAAACAAATTTGTTGTACTAATAATTAACAAACTTCTATGTTGTGTGTACATCTAGTGTCAGTAGTGTGTACATTCAGTGTACTTTCAAGTTATGTTAAAAGCTTGAAAGTTGATCCAAATGTGATAATTCGGAAGTGGAATCAACAGATATTCTTAAGTATTCCTGCCACAATGGCTTTTAGGATATTTTCCACTACAACTGAAATGAGCTCTTTGCAAACTGTTTTGGAGAGGTAAAAGGTTTCTCTGAACCAACATTAACAAATTTTTCAATGTTTTTTTTTTTTACAAAAAGGTCATATTGGACAATATCAATCAATAAATTTTTAATTACTCCCTATGCCAAATAATCGTTAACCATTGTTAATGATTCATAAATACTACATTATAAGGATAAATATATTAGCAATTTATGATTATACTTCTCACCATTTACTCTTTGTCCAATAAAGAAGTATTTAGGGCAGAATCTATCATGTTTTAATATTTTCTTCTTTTTCTGAAAAAACTGTATGGATTTAAACCATCATTTTAAAACTTAGAATGTGCAAATAAGGACAGTGCCAACCTAAATCAGCAGATTTATACACACACACACACAGATATATATATATATATATATATATATATATATATATATATATATATATATATATATATTGATTTTATAGATTCCACTCTATCTTTGATTATGAGATAATTATCTATTTTCAATTATCAATTTTGCGCCATTGTCAAAATCATTTGAAGCATACCCTACAATTTAACAAATGTAGTGAGTAAGTGCAACTAATGCGCAACTAGTATGAATATGATTCGATGCAAGTTGGCACATGTTATCATACTCAAAATAAAGAAAAAATTATTTTTGAGTGTTTTAGAAGCAAATAAACAAAACTAAGTCTATGTGTCAGAAAATATAAACTTTGAAAAATAAGGGACACCCTAATATATATATACAGGGCTCGAATTAACAAACTTTTTTCTACCAGACAAATTGTCCGGTAAAGACTCAAGTTTGCCGGACACGCCCAATAAAAATTAAAGGAGTGGGATCAAACGCCATTCCTGAACAAGCTTAAAATATTTTGTTTTTACAACTTGACCACGCAATTTGTTTTGACAACTTTAAGACGTTTTAAAATGCACTGAAAATAAAAAGAAAATCTGTAAGATTTGCTTTTTGATAGATAATTTATATATATGCATATATATCATATATATACATAGTAAAAAACTTTAATTATTTTAGACACATTAATTGAGAAGGGTTTTAGCTAAGTTGTTTTCTTTCTTGTAACCTCATGTTAACTAACTAATATATCCGTAACAAAAAACTTTTACAATCCAAAAATTGAATAATCAAGAAAAACCAGATAAAACCGGTAATAAATAACAAAAAGCCGTATACAATAAAACACTTTTAACATACACCCCTATGTTGACTTGGTCAACTAATAATATAACTCTTTTAAACGCCGTAAATTTTCGCCTGCGCTTGCTGCCTGTCTGATCGGCCGCTTAAAAATTGACCTGCACGTTTCATCAGTAGCAATCACACCTAGTTCATTTTCGTTTGATTTGTTTGTAATTTCAAAAGGTATTAATTTTTGAATAGGTCGGAAACATGTGGTTCTAATTCCTTCTTTGGATAAAACTTGTAAACGCGCACCTCGTACTTTTCCATCAGCTCCTCTAATAAGTTCCAAAACTTTTCCCATACGCCATTGACTTTTAGGGATCTTGATATCATCTCGTGTAAGAACTACATCGTTTAATACTAGCTGTTCGTTGTATGAAGTTTTACTTTTTACGTATAAATGGTGTTGTTTAAGTTCATTAAGATAAGAAGTTGCAAACCTTCTCCAAAAGTTAAATATCGTTGTTTTTATAAATATAGCTCTTTTCGAAATATCATTAGGTAGTAGACTAATTCCATTCATTTTATTAACAACATTTCGTCCATACATTAAATGGTATGGTGTTAATGCTTCTTCAGTGTCATCCTCGCTCATGTAAATTAATTGACGACTGTTTATCACAGATTCAATTTCACATAAAACCGTTTCGAGTTCTTCGTAAGATAAAAGAGACTTACCAATTGTTTTCTTCATTGTAATTTTTACAGATCTAACTAAACGTTCGTAGAAACCGCCCCACCAGGGGGAAGCTGGTAGAATAAACTTCTGTTGCACATCATTTTTCATCATAAAATTTTTAACTTCCTTAGATATAAAGGTCTTAAAATTATCGGAGATAATAAGATCAGGAAAAGCTCTTCGTGCTGCAAAACGCTTAAAAGCTCTTATGAAGGCCGGAATTTTCATGTCAGGTGTCAGTTCAAGATGGATTGCTCGACTAGACGCGCAAGTCAATAGTAAAACATTTACTATTGACTTGCGCGTCAATAGTAAATGTTTTACTATTTAGACCTTACAGGCAGCATCCTTATTAACTGTTTTTACAAATAAAGGTCCTGCATAATCTAAACCAATTGCTTGAAAGGAATATAAATTATTAACTCGAAAATTAAGTAAATCTGGGCTGCTAGGTGGTAACAATGTTCTTCCTTGGAACTTCTTGCATGTTACACATTGTCTAATAATACTTTTTATCGTCGATCGTCCTTTTATTATCCAGAATTGAGATCGTACTTTATTCAACGTCGATTCGATTCCATGATGCAAAACTTGTTCATGACAGTTACGAATCAGTAATATTGTAAACCAACTTTCTTTTCCACGTAATATTAAAGGATGCTTTTCTGCAAAGTTTAAATTAGCATTTTCAAATCTTCCTCGTAATTGTATTAGTTTGTCTTCACTATCAAATAACTTTAAAGAGTTTTTCAGTTTATCAAAACTTGTGTTATTTTGTAAAATTCTTTGCTCATCTCTAATCCATTCATTGTGTGCAAATTTGTACTCATCTGTCATCAAAGTAACTTGTTTGTTTAATGGTAGCTTTTTAATTGTTTTTAACAAATTGTTGATAAATTGAAATACATATCCAGTACTAATAATTAACTTTTCAAATGAACTAAATCTACATGCATCAATGATACTACTCAAACTTGGTGATGAGTCCAAAACAACATTACAAATAACTACATTTTCTCCTCTCTTACACTCAGACATAATATCAACCTGAAACTTTTTATCAACTTTAAATTCATTTATCTCTTTGTTCATATTTAACAAAAATTCTGGTCTTTTCAACCAATGTCCAAAATCAACAAAATTACTTATTCGAGTAGGAAAATCAGCTGGGTTCAACTCCTCACTAATATGATTCCATTTTTCTCTATCAACCACTTTTCTAATG